AAAAATGTTCAATACTAATTACTATACCAATCTTCAATGGATGTTTGCATAAATAATACAAATAATTTAGCATCAATATTCATAGAGTAAAAAAATAAATCAATAATCAAAAGCATGATTATAACAATTTAGAAGGTGACTGATGAGAAGGATTATATATCCTACTTTGAATCCCACTAACTAATGATTATCTAAAAATAGAGAATATAATAATTCTAATAATGATAGGAATGATTAAGATAATGATGATGAGGATAATGATGATGATGATAGATGATAAGGATAAAATGATAATGGTGAGGATGAGGATAATGATGATGAGTGGTGATGATGATATGGTGGTGATGATAATGATGATAGTGATGGTGAGTGACAGTGATGATGATGATATTGATAGTAATAGTAAGGCTAATAACAATAAACAAATATGAAAAGTATAAAGATAAAAAAAACAGCTAAAAACAAAGAATTCTGTTAATATAACTTGCCAGCACCTTTTCCTGATTCTTTGACTCCTTGGGAAGTTGAGTTCGTAGCATAGCGTTGGTGCGACCAGGAAGTAGTAAAGGTCACCTAAGGTCAAGTTATCAGGATACTGCTGCAGGTTGAGAGCTACCGCTTCCTCCTCCTGTTCGTTGATTTTTTCTGCATCTTTTAAGAGCAAAGCAGGAGATGTAATGTATGTTAGATGAATAAATCAATGCTAATATTATTAGCCTTGTTCTTGTAAATACTTATATATGATAATGAGGGAAAGTGAAAAAAAAATCAGTATAAAAAAGTCATATTCCACAACAGAAAACATTGAGACAGTATTAGGAACTTCCATTCCAGAATTCTAGGGAAAACTCACATTCCTTCCGCAACAATTTTTGGAAAGAGAAACTCCTGCGCCGTGAGAATTTTTTCTTCCACGTTCTCTCAGAACGACACCAGTGATTGACCTGTGCGTAGGACCACAGTTTCAGGAAGAGTACAGTATACACTGCACAGATGATGGTTCTGCCAACTGGAAAGAAACAGGGGTTTACACAGGCCTCATGGTAAAAGACACACTCTTTGAATAGGCCATAGAAAAGAAAGATTCTTAGGCAAGTCCATATGAAAAAGTAAGAATTTTTGCAGACCCGCTGGAAAGACAATGGACTTCAGCTTGAAAGTGAATGGAGTTTAAGATGGATCACTGGAAAAAGACTGGACTGTGTGTGGCCCTACTAGAAAGAAATGGGGGTCGAGATGGATTCCATTAGAAAGAGATTAGGATTTAGATCTAGCACAGCTCATTGGAGTGACTAGGCTCTTTAAGTGGGCCAACTGGAAAGAGACTGGGCTTTAGGTCAGCCTACAAGCAGACTGGCCTTTAATTGGGATAACTGGAAAGAGACTGGGCAGCAATACAAATAACTATTAATTAAAACCAAGTCAAGAATATCAAAATGCCCACTTTAAAAATCAAACCTTAAACGAACATGCAAAAAACATATATCTATACGCTTATCAACCACAAACTGCATAACACTTACGCAGACTGAACAGGTCCGTCCACAGACCCAGGATCACTATAGGGATGCTGAGAATTGTGGTGAGGTGAGTGGCATGGATGTAGGCACCAAGGTTGTTTGGAATCACATCCTGCGAGATATCAGATAGCTTTCAAAACTTACTTTGAATACCTTTATTGATAAAGCATTTCATAGTACCTGCTATATAAAGGTAAATATTCCAAGGTTTATAAATTTCCATTACTCAAAAACTTGTGTAGCATAGGCAACCAAGATAAAACACTGAGTGTACATATACACCATACTATGCAAGACCTCAACTAACAACAGATTAAAATGGCACCAAACTGTATTTACTTTCCACTGAACTGACACTAGATTTTATTCTGGGAAGCACGATATCAGTAAATGAGCTACTTGTGACCCAGAAATCTGTATATGAAATCCTGTAAACAGAATATCAGCAAAAGCATAGGTACCCCATACTCACCCTCGCCAGGAGGTGTTCAAGGAAGAAGGCAAACAGAATGTGGATATTGGTGGCTGGAAGGGGGAGAGGGAAAGAAAAAATAATAAAAATGAGATGTGAGGATAAAATAATTGTGGATACAGGAAAAACATAATTAAATTGTGTATGTGTGTGTGTGTGTGGGGGAGTGAGTGTGTGGGGGGAGTGTGTGGGGGGGAGTGTGTGGGGGGGGAGTGTGTGGGAGAGTGTGGTGGGGGAAGTGTGTGAGTTGTGAGTGGGTGAAGTGTGAAGGGGTGAGTGTGTGAGGGTGAGTTTGTGTAGGTGAGTTTGTGACAGCCCCAAGTGGGAGAGTGTGAGTGTGTGTGTGTGCTTGCTTGAGCAAGTCCATGTGCATGTATGCATACATATGTGTGGTTTATGTGATATAAACTAATAAAGTGTTAAACATCATACAGTGGTCATACTAAATGTAAATAAAAAAAAAATACAATGGAGGAAAATATATGAAACTTAATCAAAGAAAAAAAAT